GGGGGGGTGACTTCCTTGATGTAGGTATCCAAGGAAGCCTAAGGCTCTGGTAGCCAAGCCTTCCCTCCCTTAGCAAGAGTTCCTTTGGTCCTTCTCAAATCTCCTGTTCCAAACCCATACTGTGTGTGAAATTCCACCGCAAGGCCCGGACCTCCAGGCACGCTGAGGCAGGAAGCAAGCATTTAAGAGGTGCCACCATTTCTTCAATTGGAGGAGCCAACTTTCAGCCCTTCTCATCACTCTGGGTGTAGGACATTCCTCATGCCAGGGTCCAGAGTGTCATTGCCAATGCTGGAGTTTCGCTCCCTACCTCCTGCACATTTTCTGTCTTCAAATTTCTTCAAAGACGACGGGCAGGTCTCTTTGCTGCTTTGGGTCAGCTCCCCTCCCTTAAGGGGCCTGTCTCCATCTCGGAGGCAGAAATGTTCCAGGGTTTTACTCTAACCTGTTCACTGGGGTTTACCTTATCCTGGACCAGAAGATCTTCAGCTAGTTCCTATTGGTCCAGAAGTTCAGGATGATATACACCCGGCCCATCATTGCCTGGCTTCACCCGGAGATCGAGGATATATGCCTGCACCTCCCTATTTTCCATGCATACCGTCGCTACCTGTGTTTTGCTATGGGCACCCAGCATTTCCAATTTGTTGGTAGCTGCATAACCCAGTGTCCAAAAATCCTGTGTCCCACCTCCCCAAATATAAACACACCCCACCCTGACTGACCCCAAAAATACACACCGGTTTATTTTCATTGACGTTTCACTTTCTTCATGTTTTGTCTTTGCAGAGTCCGCAAGCAGCTGATGTGCAGCAGAGGCCCGTTATGAAGGGGTGAGTGACTCCGGGCTGGTATGCAATGTGTCCCAGAATCCTCTGCTCCGGGACGGAATACAATGTGTCTGCTTTACAAAATCCTCTGCACCGGTCTGAGCAGTCTGGACTTTCACTGTCTTCTCTTTTCTTCCAGGCAACAAAAAGTGGCAGAAATGGACGAGGGGACCGTCCGCATCCAGGAAGGTGATCAATGCTTGGGGATGGGTTGTCTCTCGTGTCAGGCTATGTAGGTCCAGAGGGCGGTGTAAAGGTTTGGCATAGCTGCCCTCCAGTTACTGGTCTGTATACTTAGGGTCAGTGCGGGGTCCTCTCCCAGTATATGAGGGTACAGGTTTGGTACAGGTCCTTCCAGTTATCTGTATACAGTGGCTCGGTGTGGGGTCCTCTCCCAGTATATGAGGGTACAGGTCCTTCCAGTTATCTGTATACAGTGGCCCAGTGCGGGGTCCTCTCCCAGTATATGAGGGTACAGGTCCTTCCAGTTATCTGGATACTGGGGTTCACCCAGTATAAGTGGGCATGGTTGTAGTATAGGATACAGATCCTCATGGTATAAGAGAGCACAGGTACAGTAAAGCGGCTTGGTACAGGGCCCCTTCTAGTAGGGAGGGTGCAGGTATAGTGCAGCAGTTGATGCGGGGCCCCTCCTTATATGAGGACAGATGCTTAATACAGGAGCTCCAATGGGGTCTGTTCTGTCTCTAATGTTTTGTCTGTTTCTCACAAGGAGCAGTGGCGACAGGTGAAGACCCCACTAGTGTTGCTATCGCCAGTATCCAGTCGGCTGCCACATTCTCTGATCCCGGCGTTAAGTATGTATTCCGCACAGACAGCGGAGGCACCCAGGTAGGTGTTTGTGTGTAATATTAGATGTCCTGGATGGAGGCTGGAGGTTCTTTTAGATCAAATACTCTGAGATCATACTTTATTTTGGCTGCATCTCTCCGGTAGGTGATGTACAGGGTCATCCAGGTAGCAGAAGGTCAGTTGGATGGACAGACAGAAGGAACCAGTGCCATTAGCGGGTTCCCAGCAACACAGTCTATGACACAAGTATGTTTTGTTGGGGTTGTACAGTATATGTGATCTGCCCCATGTAACTCTCCTCTACACTTCCCCACGTCCTGAGGTAACTCTCCTCTGGGCTCTCTTCCCCATGTTCTAGGGTGACGCTCCTGTGTGCTCTCCCCATGTTTCATATGTAACTCTCCTCTGCCATCTTCCACGTGTTCCATGTATAACCCTCCTCTGCGCTCTTCCACACTTTCCATGTGTAACTCTCTTCTGCTCTCCTTCACACATTCCATATGTGTGTTCTTCCACACGTCTCCATATGTAGCTTCCCTCTGCGCTCTTTCACACGCTCCATATGTAACTCCTCCACATGTTCCATATGTAACCATATGTGTGTTGCTCCATATGTAACTCTCCTCTGCGCTCTTCCATATGTAACTCTCTCCTCTGCGCTCTTCCACGCGCTCCATATGTAACTCTCCTCTGCGCTCTTCCATATGTAACTCTCCTCTGCGCTCTTCCATATGTAACTCTCCTCTGCGCTCTTCCATATGTAACTCTTGTGACGGACCCCCGTACTCAGGATGAGTATGTCCACCGCTGTCTTCTTCCTTGCTGAGGAGATATTGGAACCCGCTGACCTGTAGCTCCCAGTTTCCCCAGTCACTGGTCGGGACACGAGTGTAGGTGAAACAAACTCTGCTTTATTGAGCAACTGCACATACTTGTATACAGCAAGTGATGAGATCAGATTATAATCCCATCACCTCCACCCTCCCCTCCCAGACAATCGGTCTGCTCAACACCACAGGTGTCCACCTGCTAACGAGCTCCAGACAGCCATAGCGGGAGTCTGGCCAGAATGTCATCGTTCTGAGCTCCCTCAGAGAACTATGGGAGATAACGAGGGATGGTGCTGATGGTCTTTCCATAACCAGATCACACAGCATAACGCACTCAAACATAACTCAACACCAATACACATTTAACTCCTAAAACTGATCACCATGTTGTCACAACTCTCCTCTGCGCTCTTCCATATGTAACTCTCCTCTGCACTCTTCCATATGTAACTCTCCTCTGCGCTCTTCCACACGCTCCATATGTAACTCTCCTCTGCGCTCTTCCACACGCTCCATATGTAACTCTCCTCTGCGCTCTTCCACACGCTCCATATGTAACTCCCCCTCTGCGCTTTTCCACGCTTTCCATATGTAACGCTCCTCTGTGCTCTTCCACGTGCTCCATATGTAACTCTCTTCGCTCCTTCCATACACTCCATATGTAACTCCCCTCTGCGCTCTTCCATACGCTCTATATGTAACTCCCCCTCTGCGCTCTTCCATATGTAACTGTCCCCTTTGATCTCCCCCATGTTCCATATGTAACTCCTTTATGCTCTCCAGGCCGTCATCCAGGGTGCTTTCACCAGTGACGAGGCAGTAGACACGGACACCTCAACCACGGAGACGCATTACACCTATTTCCCCACTACAGCGGTCTCAGACACCAGCACAACAGTGGGCACGGGAGCCACAGCGACCACAGTGGTGACAACACAGAACAGCGAGGCTCTGCTGGGACAAGCCGCCTCCACAGGTCCCTACATCACCAGGTCCTTTCTCCAATGCAGTCTGTATGTGTCCATCACTAACATCTAATTCCTCCACAGGTCAGTTCTTTGTCATGATGTCTCCTCAGGAGGTTCTCCAGGGAGGTGCCCAGCGTTCCATCGCCCCTAGAACTCATCCCTACTCGCCGTAAGTCTACCAGTCCTGTTCTGCTAATCATTTAGTAGTGGGGTCCTCTGATTCTAATGCATTTTTTTTCTTCTCTACACTAGGAAATCGGATGGTCCGCGAACCACACGGGATGAGAAGAGGAGAGCGCAACACAATGAAGGTACAATATTGATAGGTGGGAATAATGGGCACACATGACTTTATCAGAGATGGGTTCTGTAGAAAGACTTGAGAGCACTCATTACTACACACAGAGATGTCTCCTCCCTCACTCGTTAACATACAGAGAGATCCAACGTGCACCTCTGATAAACAGTTGTTCCCTTTTCCCTGTAAATATCAGACAGGCTGAGTGGGAAAGAATCGGCCTGTGCCATTGGCTTTGGATAGAATTCACATCTGCTCTTCGTCCTCTGTCAATCACAATCTCACTGTCATTCTCTTTCCCCTCTGTTCTCACCGTCATTTTCCATCGGTCTCCTTCCAGGGCAGGTTTGGATCTAATTGGGGGTTGAGGGAACACAGACAAGTTTTGTGACCCCCTTGCTAAGCTAAGCGAGCTAATTGTTGGTGGATTATTTTTAATTGGTGGCTTCTGTCTGTCCTTTTAGTGGAACGTCGCCGGAGAGACAAAATCAATAACTGGATTGTTCAGCTGTCCAAGATCATCCCGGATTGTTCCATGGAGAGCACCAAGTCTGGCCAGGTATTGAGGGGATACCCAACATGTGCAATGAAGTCTATGCCATCACCTGGAAGGGGAGAGAACCTGTGTTTTTGGTTTTATTGTTGTCTTTGTCGTTACTAGGAAAGTGTCAGCAGTCAATCATCTCTTCCTGAGATGACGCCAGTAAGATATTCTGTTTTATTGTTGTCTTTGTCCTGATTGCGGGAGTGTCGGTCTCTCACTATCCTGATTGGGGGCATGTCGGTCACTCCTTGTCCTGATATGAAACCAGTGGTGGCTTTCTGCAATGATTGACTAATAGATTACACTAAAGGGTTGTGTGACCACTTCTTGTTTGCAACCAGTTGGATTGATCCGGGTCCTTGAAGGCAGGGGAGTAGATCTGGTTGTTTGGCTTGTCCCTCATCCTCCAAGGTCATGTAGAAGACCTGGTTTGTTAGATTGACTCCCATATTCCGAGGAAGGGTAGCAGAATTAGTTGATTGGATAGTCCCTCATGGTGGGGTAGCAGACCTTGTTGATTGGATTGCATCTCCTCCTCTAGTGCCAGGTCACAGACCTAGTTGATTGGACTGTCCCTCATGGTAGCGTAGCAGACCTAGTTGATTGGACTGTCCCTTTATGGTACGGTAGCAGACCTAGTTGATTGGACTGTCCCTCATGATAGCGTAGCAGACCTAGTTGATTGGACTGTCCCTCATGGTAGCGCAGCAGACCTAGTTGAGTGGACTGTCCCTCATGGTAGCGTAGCAGACCTAGTTGATTGGACTGTCCCTTTTTATGGTATGGTAGCAGACCTAGTTGACTGGACTGTCCCTCATGGTAGCGTAGCAGACCTAGTTGATTGGACTGTCCCTCATGATAGCGTAGCAGACCTAGTGGATTGGACTGTCCCTCATGGTAGCGTAGCAGACCTAGTTGAGTGGACTGTGCCTTTTTATTGTAGCAGACCTAGTTGATTGGACTGTGCCTTTATGGTATGGTAGCAGACCTAGTTGATTGGACTGTCCCTCATGGTAGCGTAGCAGACCTAGTTGATTGGACTGTCCCTCATGATAGCGTAGCAGACCTAGTGGATTGGACTGTCCCTCATGGTAGCGTAGCAGATCTAGTTGATTGGACTGTGCCTTTTTATTGGAAGAGAACTTGGTTGATTGGATGGTCCCTCATGGTATGGTAGCAGACCTAGTTGATTGGACTGTCCCTCATGGTAGCGTAGCAGACCTAGTGGATTGGACTGTCCCTCATGGTATGGTAGCAGACCTAGTGGATTGGACTGTCCCTCATGTTAGGGTAGCAGATCTAGTTGATTGGATTGTCCCTCATGTTAGGGAAGCAAATCTGTTTGTTTTTTTATGGGTAACATGGCAGAATTCTGAAACAAGCTGTGCATACTGTGGAGGCAGGGGAATCCTCTCCCATTAGTTACCAGCTTACAATTAAGTTGAAACAAAGACATGAGATACAAAACTGAAACGCAGGTGATGGTGCTTACAAAATGCCTCCAGTGAACCCTCTCTTTTGCTGCAATGCAATGGGCAAGGCTTTGGTTCTGATGTAATCCTAAGTCTTGCTTTTCAGTTCTTGGTATAATTCCATGGCAGTCTTCAGGGCTTCTTTTTTTTTTTAATGAGTGCCCCCGATCCATTAGGAATATAATAGAAAAGTTTGCTTGCTGTGAGCTTTAAATGACCTCTCTGGTTCTGTATGATGTCTGTGTGTCATTAAAACTGTGTAAAAGTATGGGGCCTGTGTAAGAATCTTCAGATTGACCTCTGTCTCCTTGCAGAGTAAGGGTGGTATCCTTTCAAAAGCATGCGATTATATCCAGGAGCTGCGGCAGGGCAACATGCGTCTGGCTGAGGAGCTGCAGACTCTGGAGCAGCTGCAGGTTGACAATGAACTCCTGAGGCAGCAGGTGAGTGCCATGGGTCAGGACTGGGAGGCAGGATTGGGTGGTAAGATTGTCTAATGGGTGGGGTTGTATTGTTGCCCAATCCTCGTTTGGTGTGCGTGGTAACATTGCCTGGCAGGTGCCAGGAGTCTGGTGTGAGTGGCAAGGTTGCCCAGTATGTGGCGGGAGTCTGGTGTGAGTGGCGAGGTTGCCCAGTATGTGGCGGGAGTCTGGTGTGAGTGGCGAGGTTGCCCAGTATGTGGCTGGAATCCGGTGTGAGTGGTAATGTTGCCTGGTGGGTTTCTGGTGTGAGGGATGGGGGGGTCAAGCCTTTGGGGACTGGTGTGGCACAAGAGGTCAGTCCTACAGGAGGGTGGGTATTTGTGTGGGAGGCACATGAGGTCAAGCCTTTTGAGGTGAGGGAGGCAGTTGAGGTCAGTCCTAACATGCTTCTCCCTCTCAGGTGGAGGATCTGAAGAACAAGAACCACATTCTCCGCGCTCAGCTCCGACATCACGGTGTGGAAATCATTATTAAGAATGACACCCGCTGACAAGAGGCTGCAGCCAGTTCTGTGCCACGGACCAAGACTTGTATCACACAGATTCCCCACCATCGTTTTCCTGCGCCCAGCCTGCTACCGTTTGTGTATATTCCTTTCATGTATATATCCCGCTTAGCGTCATGTCTGGAGTTCCTGGGGAAGTGGACAATAAGCGCAGGAAGATTTGTAGAAATGTATATTCAGACTGCCCTCCCTGTGTGCCAACCACACCCTCACATTTCCTTTTTATTGTACTGTACAATCCAGGTCGTGCTTTCTTTTTATCCATGGAGCAATCCAGCTGCCAAGAACTGGCATTTGTATTCCAACAGGATGGTGCGTACAGTGCTGGACTCTGGCCCTTTCTTCATCTGAGCTCCTTGGACTCATTGCAACTCGAGGGCCAAATGCCCACCAGGTACCTCCCCTTGCAGTAGAGTGGGGTCCAGACAATGAATGTCCCAAAGGCCACCAAGCTCCGCCCTTTGCAGCGGAGGATGACACCGGGACTGCTGCTCCCTTTTTATTGCTCTGTATGAATTGTTGGTTTGCTTCACCAAGCTTCTTAATTTTATTCTAGAACTTCTAGTTTGCTGTATAATTCAGGTAGAAGTCAGTCCCAGCTGCGTCTAGTATATTAGTGTCACTGGATCCTAGCTGAGCGACCGGCAGATATTCTGTGGAAGAACAAGTGATTGACAAGAGGAAACAGACTGCTGATTTTTCCTGTTTATTGTATAAAAGCGCCACCGTTAAATGTTTGTATACAGATATTGGAAGAGGGGAGGCGGTTCTAATGCACAATATCATACCGATGTCTCCACTAACAACTGAATATAGACTCTTAAACTGCTGCCATCCTGTGTACAATAATCTGAGGGGCATTTGTGTGTGTATGTAACATTGTATTCTGTAGAATGGTCTGTGAGCGAAAACCTGATCATTAGAAATGACTTCCTCGCAGCTCAGAGGAAAGGCTTTAATTGGAGCCTTTTTGTGGGTCCGGTTTGTTGGGGAGATGGAAGTCTCCTGCTGCAGCTTCCTGTTATCTACAGAGGCTGACAATTATATTGATGGACCCATTGAGGGGGAAGGAGAAGTATCATGTTAAGTTCTTTGTTCAGAGCATTATAGAGGTAATGGAGGAAGAGCTGGTGCAGCCATTGCTGAGGGGAGTTAGGGGAAGTGGGCACGGGTTGCCCTTCTAACTGATCTACTAGAGTCAGTCTATGGATACACTAGTGATTCAAATAAGATCTTGGTGTTCATTAAGGGACACAGAAAGTCTTTACTGTTGGATTGTACTGCTTCCTATATGAGAATGGGACACTGCCAAACACAAAAACTATTCACGAGCCCAGAATAATCCCGCCTACTACCAGCATGCCTCAGTCTTGTAGCAAAGCAGTACCATAGACATGATAATAAACACATGGGGTGGAACTTATGTCCCTCAATGAATTGCAAGAAAATAATTTCATAGCAAATACAAAAAAAAAAGGCTATCACCTTCGAGATGTCCAAAAGCAGTCCACATGAGCGGTGGGCAACAGCAAACAAAATGCTGACAGGCCCACAAAACAAACAAACTGGGGACTGCATGCAGCTTGGAGAGCTCCATGAAGGACCTCAATCCTGAAGCTAGCATCAGATGCAGCCTGAACTTCCTCCTGGTAAAACGTGGACAAACATAGCCACATAAGACCAGGTAGTGGCATTGCAAACCTGGGGAACAGTTGCTTGATGCTGGAAAACCCAATTAGCACTCAGGTCTAGTACAAGGGCGCCTTGAGAGGAAAGGTCCTTAAGACCGTAAGCTTGAATGCTGATCTGTTTGAGCCACTTGGGAATAGTGTAATGAGAAGCAGGTTCCATCGTGAATGATGGAGAGTCAAGACTTTTTCAATGTAAAGTGGCTGGGAAACTCTCCTAGCCCTAACTACATCCAGGCAATGGAGGGAAGTCTGATGAACTGGAGCCAGACAGAGATGACAACCTGGTTGAAAGAAAGGCTGAATCTACCTTAGGTAGAAAGGCAGTTCTAGGCTTCTATACCACCTTGTCCTTGTGTAAGACCAGAATGGGTTCTTTACAAGATAAGGCTACCAGCTCAGGCACTCGCCTCTCAGAAATGATGGTAACAAGAAAAGCAATCTTGTACGAATGGAAAGGGGCATGGCCCTGATAGATTCAAAGGCCAGTTATTCAAGTGCTAAGAGAATCCATTTGTGATCCCATGGAGTTACAGTGGAGCAAGCAAGAGGAGCCACGTGGAAAAAACCCCTTCATGGAGATCTTGATCAAAGAATGGGAAGCCAGCACTCTGGAATATGACGGTAAGCGCGGAGACCTGAGCTTTGATGGTGCCAACGACCAGATGCTACTCTGGATCTATCTGTAGCAAGAAGAGCATTCAATACATGGAAGACTTCATACGGTGAAAGCTGCTTACCTCGCACCAAGCGAAGTATGGCTTCTATGTATGATGATCGAACATACAGGAAGTAGACTTGATTGCTTTGAGCATCATAGGGGTCACCAATGTCCTTAGAAGGCTACATCATCAGTGCCTTCCACAGAGATCTCATTTGGGCCAATGTGTGACCCCTGTACTGCCATCTCTTGATTAGTGTTGTCAAGTTTAATAAAGGAGGAGGTCCGCTTTAACTGATAGATAGTGGGGATTTTGAACAAGTCCGCTCCTATTGCATGGCCTACTCAAGTCCACGGTGACAGGGTCACGTTAAATCAATGCAAGAGCTCTGGACTTGGAAACGCTTGGTGGCTATCCAACATGATACAAACTCAGGTCTGGAAAGTGCCACATTGCAGAGCCCAGTGCCCAAAGGTCACATTCCAGACTTGTCCAGGTACAGCATTAGAAAAGGCCGATCCAAAGATCTGCATATAGAGACCAGCTCAGGAGTGATGTATTAAGAATCCTGAATGAAGAAAAAGGTTAGACTGAGAGGAGACATCCATCGTCCTAGGACATTATCAAAACCCTAAGGCATGCTGGGAGTAGGAGGAGGTTATCCTGGGATGAACCACAATTGCTTTGTTTGCCAGTGTCCACTACTCCTGTAGGCAGCAATATAACCCTACAGTGAAAACTTCCCGTGTCCCTCAATGGACAAGAAAGAAATCTGCTATGGGGAAGTTTCATTTCTTGTGAACTTAAATTATTCCAATCATGTTGATTTCAGTGTGCAGCCCCTGAGGTGTTCACCCTGAGATGTACAGTAATTGGTGTTTTCTGAGTCTTTGCTCTGTCACTAATCCTTGAATGTCCACGTGTGGTTGATACATTTCCAAATGTTTTCTGGTGGGTTACATACACTCCATCAGTGTTGTATTTTTGTGTCATTACCACTGCCATGACCAGCAAGACCAAAATGCTGCTTTCTGGGTTCTGTTATAGAGATCTAGCACTGCAGGAACTGTGTAGGCTGCTGTTGCTGATCTCTTCCTCTGAAAATAGCAGTTACCTGGCTGTAACACTTCAATTTACTGACCTGGAGCAAGTATATAGAACAGGATTTCCCTATTTACTTGCTGCACGCATGCTCTAAGTCAGTGACTCAGAAAGCTTTAGGGCCTGTTCACGCCTTTGCTGAAAAAATGCAGAGATGGCAACTTGCCTTGTTTTCAATCAGCTCAATGCTTAAAACAGTACAGTGGGCTAAGATCAGCACTGTACTTGTCAGTGTCCATGCATTCAGTGTGGCATGCTGTTGTGCATGGACCCCTGAAGCCAGAGGCAGCTTAACCACCAGCATTTTCAGGAGGTCAGAAATGGCATCTTGGGTATTTTTCTCATCATTTTTCTTTAGATCAGGGGTAGTCAAACTCCAACCCTCCAGTTGTGGTGAAACTACAAATTCCATCATGTATCTGCCCCTGGGAGTCATGCCTGTGGCTGTCAGCCTTGCAATGCCCAATATGATTTGTAGTTCTGGAGGGCTGGAGTTTGCCTACCCCTACTTTAGACCTTGTATAAGAGCTGTGTGTACACCTGCCTTCTATAAAGGTTTTGAAAGCTACTATAAGCCTGCTCAAGCCATTGTCATTAAGATCTACGTTTAACTTCCGCATGCTAGAAGTCAGGTTTGCTTTAAAGGCTTCAACATTGGTGCTTGAAGCTTTAGAAATCCATTGTAAAAGCCTGCTGTACACCCTGTCCTTATACAAGCTGAGACCCGAGTGCACCATGACTCAATGCAACACATCCAAACGTGGCCAGTCTAGAAATGATGACCTGATTGCATTATTCTTTACTTAAAGCTCAGGAACTCCTCACTGGCATAACCAGAATTATAACATTGTGTCATATTGTTGTACTTACTATGTATATTATATCCAAGTGATCTAAAAGTGTGCTGTAGACTTTCTCCTTCATAGGCAGTATGAGCCATGGGGGAGTGACACTGTGGAGTGAAGGGAGCTAGCACTTAGACTGGTCCCTTCATTCTGTGTGCCTGGTAGGGCTGCTGGATGGGAGTCTGCTGAGCACCGAACAGACTGACACCGTAGCCCCATCAGATAATGGTGCAGAGCATCAGCAGTTAGCCATACTTGTCCGTACAAATGACATCCAGCTAACCACCAGTGACCATCTCTGGGGATTACACCGAAGTGTACTGATGATATTGCATACTTTTCTGATCAAAGATGATTTTATCTGGATGGGGGCTCTGGGTATGGTTTGTGAACTGGTATAATGTACTGTTTATAAGCTGGGAGGAGGGCACCTGGTATAAAGAAGTACGTGGTGCATGTACTGTATATAGGCTGGGAGGAGGGCACCTGGTATAAAGAAGTATGTGGTGCATGTGCTGTATATAGGCTGGGAGGAGGGCACCTGGTATAAAGGAGTAAATGGTGCATTTGCTGTATAGGCTGGGGGAGAGTTCCTGGTATAAAGACGTTAATGGTGTGTGTAATGTATGTTAGCCAGAAGGAGAGTACCTTGTATAAAGAACTGAATGGTGCATGTAGGTCTAGGGCAGGGGTAGCAAACCTCTGACCCTCCAGCTGTGGTGGAACTACAAATACCATTGCAAGTACCATTGCAAGATTCTCACAGCCACAGACATGACTCCTGAAGAGAGATGCATAATGGGATTTGTAGTTTCACCACAGCTGGAGGTTTGCTACCCCTGTGCTAGGGTCTAGTATGAGGGTCCAGTTGTTCATTCCTGTCTGGGCCACCAATGCCTTCAGACTGTTTTCAATTTTGGAACATACACAGGAAGGACAAAAGTCAGGTTGTCAAACTGCAATGTGTATGTCACTGTGCATAGCCTGCATGGTGTATGTCGGTGTGCATGGTCTGTGTACACACTGCAGTGCACTACCACTATGAACTGCCTTTGCCTTGGAGGTAAATATGGGTTGCATGTAGCTACAGACATGTAAAACTATCGGTGGCACTTTGCAGGAAACGCATATGTAGAAGGCCCATCTTCCGGGTGTGTGCAGATCCCATAGTGTATGGTCCAGGTCAGCTATTATTCTGCCGTAGGATTCCCAGGGGGTTGGATCTTACACCAGGAATCCAGAATTCAGAGAGTAAAGGGAAGAGCGGTAGACAGGAGGTGACACAGGGCTGGTATTATCTTCATCATCTTCCTCGCTCTCAGTTATGGAATCATCAGTTTCAGAGCACAGACGAGGAAAGTGTTTTCTGATGTGTGGTGTCTCCAGGACAGGTGATAGGTTGATCTGGCTCTGCCGGACACTGTACAGGATGCGGGGAGAAGGCCGTGCTGGCGGAATATATGGCTCGGACACAGGTCGGGCTATGAGGCTGGATATTCCTGTGTCACTGTCTGCACTTTTAATGACATGAAGTTGTCCTGCAGAGAGATTGTCCACCCTGTGGGCAGGAATTGGGAACGTATGGGTTTGGTATAGCGGTCATAGCAATATTAAAGTCACCTTGAAATTCACACACATCTAAAAATGTTCTTTGAAAGGTTTACCTGGTGGGGTCATATAACTCGGCTTCGCGCCACTTTCCCCGACTCTGCTGGTGGAGGCACAGGACCAGAGCAAAGAGCGCCAGGAGGACCAGACCCATGATAAGTGTGATGGTGATGGCGGCAAATATCCCCATTGCGTCGATACCTCCTGCAAAAAAAGACAACCGCACCAATGTCAGCTAATCCATCATTTCATTGCTTCAAATTTCTTTCTCTAAAGTGTTCTATTTATCATCCTTAGAAGGCATTCTGTTGTCACCTGTGATTTCCCAGTCATTACAATTTTGAAATTATTCTCTTGAGAGAATGGGCACATATGGAGGCTCCTGTGCCTGTATACGAGTGGGCTGGATGCCCAGAATATGATCCTCCACTACTATGACACAAGAGATGCATAGGATCCCCAGAATGTGATCTTCCACTATCACACAAGAGAGGCATGTTAGATCCCCAGAATGTGAGTTTCCACTACTATCACACGAGAGAGGCATGGTGGATCTCCAGAATGTGCTTTTCCACTACTACGGTATCGCACAAGAGAGGCATGTTAGAGCTCCAGAATGTGATTTTCCCCTACTATGACACAAGAGAGGCATGGTGGATCTCCAGAATATGATCTTCCACTACTATTACACTAGAAAGGCATGTTAGATCTCCAGAATGTGATCTTCCACTACTATTACACTAGAAAAGCATGTTAGATCTCCAGAATGTGATTTTCCACTACTATCACACAAGAGAGGCATGGTGGATCTCCAGAATGTGACCCTTCACCACTATCACACAAGTTAGACATGGTTGATCTCCATATTGTGATCTGCCACTATGACAGGAGGGAATAGTTGATCTCCAGAATGTGATCTCTGAGATTTCAGTTTGCCACTACTGTGCTGCCCGCTGTTCTCTTTGCTGGAGAGAAAGCTGTACCTGAAGAGCTGCAGTGCAAAGATCTGCCTGCTTCATTGATTCAGGGGGCAGCTGTGACACAAGGAAGCAAAGCCCTGCCCCTCTACCAAGATGGCCGCCTTCACACAGAGGCACATGACGCAACAAGGCATGGTAAATCAGAAAGGGGGAAAAGAGCAGCTGTGGAAGACGATAACTGGTGACTAGTTCTTTGTTCTCTGCCATTTTGGGCACAGCTTCCACAGCACAGGTCCTCTCATCCCTGTATATTGCTCCCTACATCTAGTGGCGGTCTCGCAGACACTCACCTACATGAATACGAAGCTCTATGGCACAGGACTGAGAGCCCAGCTGATTTGTGGCTGTACAGCGATACAGACCCGACGTCCCCAATGTGATGTTTGTCAGGGTAGCGGAACCTCGATGATCTGCCAAAACAAGATTGTGGTCAGCGGAGTTCTGTACTAGGCCAGATCCTAAGCAAAGTTTAGAGTGACCTTAGACTTAAAATGTGGGTACCCTCTGATGATAATGAGGTTTGAGCCTATTAATATTAAGTTCAGTTGGTCCCAAGCCTAATGCAAATGAAGCCTTTCATTTAGTTTAGGTGACCTCAAGTTGCACTTGATTGGCCAGGTCTCTGTAAGTTCCAAAAAGCAGGGATCTGCCACTCTGGGGATGTAATCTTTATAGTTCTTAGGTGAAGTACTAAAACCAATTGTTATTTAGAGTTTCCCCTTGACCTGGTGTTAATCAGTTTAAGTGATACATTTATGAGCAGTGTCGTAAATCGCTAATGCATGGTAATGGTTTCGGCCAGCTCCGCTAATCCCCTAATAAATTAGCAATTGACAAGTTTTAGATAAACACACAGGCCTGGTAAAGCTAATGACAAAGGTAAGTTTTAGATAAACACACAGGCCTGGTAAGGCTAATGATCCAGATGACCTCCAAGTCACCCTTAAGTTATAAATTATCAACCCAATTTCATAACTTGGAATTGGACAATGATATTGTAAGATTAATGGCACAAATAGCTGTGTCTCGTCGAGGCGAGAACATACATACCAAAAACAGATAGTTTATGATGGTCAATGGCCTGACAGGCGACATTTACCCTCCTAGCTCAACAATCATAGATATCAGCACAAAGTTTGATCTCAATCTAAAGCTAGCTTCATGACGCATCATAATTTAGGGGTTGTCAGACAATATTGGATATGAATATTCAATTATCCTCTTATGAATTTAAACGTTTGGAAGGAGCAGAGGAGGACATCGTGAAGGCTTAGCCCTCCTGCTCCCCCTCCCAAGCCTGCCTTAGGGGCCAGCTACATGACACACCCTAGAGGTCTGACAAAAAGATGCTGCTAGAGGCAGCAAGATGAGGCTCTTGTTGGTAACATGAAGAAAAGGAACTCCTGCAACATCAAGAAGTTCGTAACATCCCAAAAGAGTTCTCTTTAATATCTGGAAATGATGTGTGCAAGCCTTGCTTGAAGAAGAGCCACTCAGACCCCTCTTTGGCTTATTGAACTCTGGACTCTGTCAGAACTCATAAACCCAGGACTGTTAAGTATTCTCTTTTTATTACCCTTTATTATCCTGTTGTTATATATTATTACTATATTATTCTGGGTGAGTGCGTCCAATGTAGGCCACCATGGGAGAGGGCAGCAGGGGAGGCAGAGTCGGATTCCTGAAGCCAAGTTTCAGTGACAGCAAGCATGTTAAAGGAATTGGAGATAAGAAGATCATGGACAGCAGTGAGTTTGTTACAGACAGAGCGTGCATTCCAAAGGGCACATGAGAAGGAAGGACCGATTCTAGGAAGCAGGGGAATATAAATCAGGGTGCGTGGATTGCAGCTGGTGCCAGAGGAAAGGCAGTACTGGTATGGAGGGTGAATATTAGAAAAGAGAGGGCATGGATTGGGAGAGATATCCCCTGAAGTCAGTAGAAGCAGAAGTGTGAGGGAAGTGAGATGAGAGGGAGTTTTACATGAGCGAACATGCCCAAGTGTCTTGGAGGTAACCCTAGCATGTGTATTCAGAATGAGCAGGAGGTGATGAGTGCAGTAATAGGGAGAAGGTAGGAGAGAAGGAGAAATATATAAATTGTGGGGTGGAGAGGGGGGATAAAGGAAATACAGTTTAAGTAGAGAAGCCACAATTGTGAGAAGCAATGGTAGAGAACGCATGGTGTGCAGAGGAAGTATGAGACACTAAAGTGAATGAGGAGTAGTAGGTATGAAACGGGTGCAACAATGAAAGGAAAGAGGTAGGGAAGAGGTTAAAGCGGGATAGTATTGAAATATATTTTGTCTCCCTTTATATCTTTTTCTGTATATTTTCTGCACTGTTTCTTTTATTAAAGGACGATCTTAAAAATCGCTAAGCTTATCTCTACGTTCTAAATACAAACTTACATTTTCCTTGCCTCTGTGAAGAGCGCTACTGTATAGTGAGACCTGTCATATCTCTGTCTGAGAGGACAGCGGTATCATAGGCTTTGTTTAGGTGTTTTGAATTGTCACAGCACTTGCTGGGAACAGTCCTTGTTTCCGTTAAAAAAACAAGTGGTGGCAGAAAATATTTGGTGTGTAAAGGGTTAACTACGGTGTTAATCAAATGCGGTGTTAACCAACCCTAGTGACGATCGCTCTCAGTCTGCTGGCCTGAGATTGTTGTCCCGCGAGCTTGGAGGTCTCTGTGCAGGATGAGGCTGAGAGTGGTATCGCCACGTCTTTGTGACGGCTTACTCAGTTTTGAACTGCGTATAGTCCCGTGTGGTAGATGAACAGTGGGTTCGGGCCGGGAGTACGTCACACCCTCCTAAGACTACCTGCTGCAGACTGCACATCTAAATGACTACTCTTAACTGATCTTTAAACTGTAGTACAGGAGCTGCTTAATATTTAGAGTATGCTCCCTGTTGAGTTTGATGGAGTCGGCTTTGTAGGTGAGGAACTTGTACTTTGATGCTGATCATGATCCCGCTCTATCTCCAGGGCTGTTATACCTGATTTTGGGAAGAGGAGGAACCAGAGGTACAAAGCTCCAGCCACATAATGGGTTTGTTGCTCACCTTCCTGGTGGCTGATGAGTAGTTGACCATCAGGGGACATTTTCTCCCATCTGAAGCGGGGAGTTGGGATCCCCTCTGTCACAGAGCAGCGGAGGTGGATGCTGCCTCCTTCCTGGCCTTGGCCATCGCTGGAACAGTCTGGAATGGAAGGAGGGACTGCAGGAGACAGAATAAGTCATATGACCATCAGAAGAGGACTATGGAAATGGCGAATACCAATGCAGTACTCAGGAACACACAGTAGGGGCCCCACCGCTATTTTTCAGAGTCTCTCTGAGACATGATTGTTATTTAACAGCTTACCGAGTACGGTGAGTCCAACCAGGCCGATGTTGGGTGTTGCCCCATCTGGTGGGTTCATGACGGTGCACTGGTACGTGCCGGTGTCCGACACCCGTGTGTGGTTAATGAAGATACTGGCATCCTGGGTAGGCTGAAAGGCAAATCTCACTCTGCCCAAATATTCAGTCAGACTTTCCACAATCTGACCCTGTTCATATGCAATGACCTGACGGAGAGAGCGCACATGAGCATACAATCTCAGGATGCTGATGGGTCCTGGAAAAATATACATTATCAGTTTGCACACGGTAATGTTTCTAGAGTTGTACTTCTCTTTATACGCACAGCATCATCTGAAGACCTAAAAGCCTACATGTGATCACAGGATCAGAAACAACCATGGTTGGTTCCCAGTCTGTGACCTGCGTCCGTCAGTGACAGTTGAGCGCTGCTAGTTCCCAGGTGATAGTCCACCACCTTTCCGGTGTTCTAAATGTGACAGATCCATGTTGTGATAAATGCAAACCCATCATTCCAGCTCGTACTTGAATCTATAGTGCCCTCCAGCATTTGTCACATTACTAAGAGGCAGACGTCTACAGAGTATCTACAACACTCTTTATGAATTCCTCTGTTCTCTCAGAAAGTTGAGCAGTGCAGGAGAACATTACAGATGGTGTCCGTCAAGTGGTGATATAATGGAAAACTGACCTCTAACCAATAGAACATCCCAGCATTCTATCAAACTTGCACCCATTGAGTAGTCCTCAGTGGTCATCCATGTGATGCCCCAGTTTTGTCTCACCAGTATCAAATGTTTTCCCCTGTCTCAATACTGAGTGGTCCTCAGTAGAACTCCATTTAATGCTCCAGGAGTGACCCATCTGAAGTGGTTGTTTTCCCGCATACTCACCATTTGAGCGCTCCTCAGTGGAGCCCCATGTGGCGCCCCAATTGTGACTCTATTGCAGTGGGTATTTTTCCACCATACTCCCGAATCGTGCTCCTCAGTGGAACCCTGTGGGAAACCTCATGCGTGACTCACTTGCAGTGAGTGTTTTTTCCCATACTCCCTCACTGAGTGCTGCTCAGTGAAGCTCCATGTGATGCCGCAGTTATGAGTCTCCTGCTGTGGATATTTTTCCACCATTCTCACCCCTTGTGTGCTCCTCAATAGGATGCCCCAGATTTGACTCACCTGCAGTGGGTGTTGTTTCCCCATAACTACCCATTAAGTGGAGCTCATGTGACATCCTCAGTGGAGCTCATGTGACATCCCACTTGTGATTTACCTGCAGTGGGTATTGCTCCCCATACGCACCCATTGAGGGCTCCTCAGTTAAACCCCACTTGTGACTCACCTGCAGTGGGTGTTTTCCCCCATAGTCACTCATTGAGGGCTCCTCAGTTAAGCCCCACTTGTGACTCACTTGCAGTGGGTGTTTTCCCCATACTCACCCACTGAGGGCTCCTCAGTTAAGCACCACTTGTGATTTACCTGCAGTGGGTGTTTTCCCCCATAGTCACCTATTGAAGGCTCCTCAGTTAAGCCCCACTTGTGACTCACCTGCAGCGGGTGTTTTCCCCCATAGTCACCCATTGAAGGCTCCTCGGTTGAGCTCCATTTGATGCCGCAGTTGTAACTCACCTGCAGTGGGTGTTTTCCCCCATACTCACCCATTGAGAGCTCCTCAGTTAAGCCCCACGTGAGACTCACCTGCAGTGGGTGGTTTCCCCATAGTCAATAATTGAGGGCTCCTCAGTCAAGCTCTATGTGATGCCCCACTTGTGACTCACCTGCAGCGGTGACGATCCCCCATAGTCACCCATTGAGAGCTCCTCAGTAAAGCTCCATGTGATGCCCCACTTGTGACTCACCTGCAGCGGGTGTTTTCCCCCATAGTCACCCATTGAGAGCTCCTCAGTAAAGCTCCATGTGATGCCCCAGTTGTGACTCATCTGCAGTGGGTGTTTTCCCCCATAGTCACCCATTGAGGGCTCCTCGATAAAGCTCCATGTGATGCCCCACTTGTAACTCACCTGCAGTGGGTGTTTTCCCCCATAGTCACCCATTGAGGGCTCCTCGGTAAAGCTCCATGCGATGCCCCACTTGTAACTCACCTGCAGCAGGTTTTTCCCCCCATAGTCACCCATTGAGGGCTCCTCGGTAAAGCTCCATGCAATGCCCCACATGTAACTCACCTGCAGCGTGTGTTTTCCCCCATAGTCACCCATTGAAGGCTGCTCGGTAAAGCTCCATGCGATGCCCCACTTGTAACTCACCTGCAGCGGGTGTTTTGGCTCCTCCAGTGGAGTAACCGTCCAGATGATGTTTAGACGGTTGAGTGCGGCTGTGGTTCGGAAGGAGCAGGGGAGGAGAGCTGTCCCACCTCTGGTCACCTGGACGCTTGGAGTGTTTATCGTCACCTTCACTGCGCTCACTGCTGCAAGAGATCCAGAGAAGAACCCCAATAATACCGGAGCTACAAGAACCAAACACGAATGCACCTCAGTCCACCTCAACGATTTCTCAGTCAAATCATTAGCATTAGAACTTCAGCAGGTCTGACTAGAAAGCAAACTTATAATATGAGAAGAATCTACAGTAATAATATCTGAGTACATCGTGTGTAAGACAAAAGAATGCTGAGAGGTGACCACAGAAGAAGCATAAGAATGGCGAAAACATCGCCAAAGTCTCTGCAAATCTCCGAAATGAGCATCACATGTACGAAAGAGGAGATTACAACTGACAATACCCTCAATCTATCATCTAATATAAAGATATTACACTCTAATATAGAGAATATATTCTAGCATAGTATATAACCCAGAACACAACACCTTGAGCTAGAATAATATACAGAATATAACACCCGATATAGAATGATATACAGAATATAATACCCGATATAGAATAATATACAGAATATAACACCCAGTATAGAATGATATACAGAATATAATACCCCGATGTAGAATGATATACAGAATATAACACCCGGTATAGAATGATATACAGAATATAATACCCCGATGTAGAATGATATACAGAATATAACACCCGGTATAGAATGATATACAGAATATAACACCCCCCGATATAGAATGATATACGGAATATAACACCCGATATAGAATGATATACAGAATATAACACCCCGAAATAGAATGATATATAGAATATAACATCCCAATATAGAATGATATACAGAATATAACATCCCAATATAGAATGATACACAGAATATAAAAAATGCTGTTATAGAATGTTGTCTTAGCTTTGTGTAAGGTTAGCTCTGTATAGGGATAACACTTTATGGGGGTGGCTCTGTATAGATTAGTTTGTATAGGGATAGCTCTGTAGCAGGGGCGGACCTACTGGTGATGCAGTCGGTGCGACTGCACCAGGGCCTGAAGCTGGGGGTGGGGCGGGGGTAGTGATATGTTAGCTCTGTATAGAAGTAGCTCTGTATAGGGTTTGCTAGCTCAATTTAGGGATAGCCCTGTATATGGAGTGGCTCTGTATAGGGGTGGCTGCACAGGGGTAGCTCTCAATATGGGTAGCTCTGTACAGGGGTGGCTCTGTATAGTGTTGCCTCAGTGGCTCTGTATAAGGGTAGCTCTGTATAGGGGTGGCTCTGTATATGAATATCTCATTAAAGGGGTAACGCTGTTTAGGGATAGCACTGTATATGGGGTGGCTCTGTATAGGGGTGACTGTACAGGGGTAGCTCTCAATATGGGTAGCTCTGTACAGGGGTGGCTCTGTATAGGGGTAGCTCTGTATAGGGGTGGCTCTGTATTGGAATATCTCGGTATAGGGGTAACTATGTTTAGGGATAGCTCTGTATAGGAATATCTAATTAAAGGGGTAACGCTGTTTAGGGATAGCCCTGTATATGGGTAGCTCTGTATAAGAATATCTCGGTATAGGGGTAACTCTGTTTAGGGATAGCTCTGTATATGGGTAGCTCTGTATAGGGGTGGCTCTGTATAACAATATCTCGGTATAGGGATAACTCTGTTTAGGGATATCTCTGTATATGGATAGCTCTGTATAGGGGTGGCTCTGTATAACAATATCTCGGTATAGGGGTAACTCTGTTTAGGGATAGCTCTGTGTATGAATAGCTCTATATAGGGGTGGCTCTGTATAACAATATCTCGGTGTAGGGGTAACTCTGTTTAGGGATAGCTCTATATATGGGTAGCTCTGTATAGGGGTGGCTCTGTATAACAATATCTTGGTATAGGGGTAACTCTGTTTAGGAATAGCTCTGTATAAGGATAGCTCTTTATAGGGGTGGCTCTGTATAACAATATCTCGTTTTAGGGGTAACTCTGTTTAGGGATAGCTCTGTATATGGATAGCTCTGTATAGGGGTGGCTATGTATAACAATATTTCGGTATAGGGGTAACTCTGTTTAGGGATAGCTCTGTGTATGAGTAGCTCTATATAGGGGTGGCTCTGTATAACAATATCTCGGTATAGGGGTAACTCCGTTTAGGAATAGCTCTGTATAGGGGTGGCTCTGTATAACAATATCTCGGTATAGGGGTAACTCTGTTTAGAGATAGCTCTGTGTATGAGTAGCTCTATATAGGGGTGGCTCTGTATAACAATATCTAGGTATAGGGGTAACTCTGTTTAGGAATAGCTCTGTATATGGGTAGCTCTGTATAGGGGTGGCTCTGTATAACAATATCTCGGTATAGGGGTAACTCTGTTTAGGAATAGTTCTGTATATGTATAGCTCTGTATAGGGGTGGCTCTGTATAACAATATCTCAGTATAGGGGTAACTCTGTATATGGATAGCTCTGTATAGGGGTGGCTCTGTATAACAATATCTCGGTATAGGGGTAACTCTGTTTAGGGATAGCTCTGTATAGGGGTGGCTCTGTATAACAATATCTCGGTATAGGGGTAACTCTGTTTAGAGATAGCTCTGTGTATGAGTAGCTCTATATAGGGGTGGCTCTGTATAACAATATCTAGGTATAGGGGTAACTCTGTTTAGGAATAGCTCTGTATATGGGTAGCTCTGTATAGGGGTGGCTCTGTATAACAATATCTCGGTATAGGGGTAACTCTGTTTAGGAATAGTTCTGTATATGTATAGCTCTGTATAGGGGTGGCTCTGTATAACAATATCTCAGTATAGGGGTAACTCTGTTTAGGGATAGCTCTGTGTATGAGTAGCTCTATATAGGGGTGGCTCTGTATAACAATATCTCAGTATAGGGGTAACTCTGTTTAGGGATAGCTCTGTGTATGAGTAGCTCTATATAGGGGTGGCTCTGTATAACAATATCTTGGTATAGGGGTAACTCTGTTTAGGAATAGCCATGTATATGGGTAGCTCTGTATAGCGTTGCCTCAGTGGCTCTGTATAGACATAGCTCAGTGGCTCAGCCCTCAGTAAGTCTATGGAAAGTGACCAAGGATCATGGAAAAAGCGTCCGGTGTTACCTGTCAGGGTGAGAAGCCAGGGAAGTGGAAGACCTAGGCGGCTCTTCATGTTAGGGGTGTCGGAGTTGTGCCTGGAGATTGGGGTCACCCCGATCACTCCTCTGTCCCCTCTACTTGTGTCACTTTGTCCCAGTTCCCTCCTCCCCCACCCTCGTCCCCCCGCCTCCTGGTTATTTGCTGAATTTATTACGCTCCATTTCCCGGGTCATTATTTCCCAATCTCTCCATTCACTCTCTCCTCTATATACGTTCACAGCACAACAGCTGATTGCAGCACCATAAGAGGCCACCGGGCCATGCAACAAGTATGGTACAATGGGATCGGCCAACAAACCAGACAATCTCGGTGAGACCGACCACCAATCATTTCTATTCTTTATGGAGAACCTGCGCTGCGTACACGTGGCGTCCAACCACCCGTTAGAGCGCGGACTGCGCCTTGCCGGGTACACAGACATATCGATTAGAGGTCAATCTAGGAACGAGCGATTCGTCGTCAATTAAAATTTGGAACAATGCAACACGCACAGTATTGATTGAAAATACAATATATCAGATATCAGTTTAATTGATCGGAAACGATGGATACAACTCTGCCGCGGCCGAGCGACTGATAAAGCCGCCATATATCAGGTTAGGGATTATATTGAAGTAACTGTGGTCACCCCCAATTAATAGGCGTGTGTCTGTTCGCTGTGCTATGTGAATCCTCTTTGTCACGTCATTGTTATCTGCTCCTCATCTGTCACTGTGATTCAGCACATTCCCCGACCTCGGATTATTGTCTATGTATGAAGGTCAGAGGGTGTGGTGGTATAGAGGCCACCTGTGTGATTAGGTGGCGATGGAAGCTGCCTTTTACGAACCGATGTGCTGCATACAAGGAGTGACAGAGTGCAGGCTGCAGGCAGATGGCTGCCTCCACCTGAGCCTTCTCGCACAGGCAAAATTAATTTATTGTATACACAAAGGAGGAGGATGACACCACAACACCCACTAATATTACATTGTCTCTGACTGAACTCATGACCAGATATAACTGCAATGTCTCTGACAGATCACATGATATCATCACATGGTCAGTTTTCACTACAGTGCCTCTGGCAGATCACATGACCTTGCCACATTGCCAGATTTCACGGCATTGGCTCTGACAGTTCACGTAACCTCATCACATGGCTAGCTTTCAGTACAATGTCTTTGACAGATCACATGATATCGTCACATGGTCAGTTTTCACTACAATGCCTCTGGCAGATCACATGACCTCACCACATTGCCAGATTCATGGCATTGGCTCTGACTGATCACGTGCCCTCCTCGCATGGTTAGCTTTCAGTACATTGGCTCTGACTGATCACATGACCTGATGACATAGTCAGATCTCACTGCCATGTCTCTGGCAGATCACATGACATATCTCATGGTCAGTTTTTTCTACAGCACTGGTAGTAGGGTTGCCACCTTTTCTTCAAGTGAAACCCGAACACTCTAGAGACGCGCAGACAATTTTTGGGGAAAATTAGTAATGGCTTATTAATATCTAAATAGCGCCACCCATTCATATGATCGTGATCAGCTCTCACTACAATGTCTCTGAATGTTCACATAACCTTATTGCATGGCCAGCTTTCAGTACTATGTCTCTGAATGATCACATGACCTCATTAAATGGCCAGCTTTCATTACAGTGTCCCTGACTGATCACATGACCTCAGCACACTCCCAGGTGTGGCTTTGTGTGATCATGTGATACTTTTGCCATGGAATCTCATTAACTAGGTTTAGAAAGATGGGAGGTTGCAGTGTGTAGGTTTATATTACTTCCTATAGCTGCTGTGGGGACCCCGGGCCTATACTGCACCTCCAACCCCACCAAGCAAGCACCATGAGGCACGTATTTCTGCAGCAGACTCTACGTACAGCAGAAGGCTCCTCCCCCTTCTATATTGCTGCCTGCCTGGAACTTCCTGAACAATCCGGTTTTTCGTCCTTCATCGCCTGCTGTCATTAAATTAGCAACAAGGTGTAGCTGGCTTTGTCTACAGTAGATGGTAAGATTAAAGGATGCATGTGAAGGGCCATGATTGAGCTTGTAGTGGTTGGTCAGTTCTGAACAGATGTGATTGACCACTTTGAGTTGCCGGGACATACTAGACAATGCACAACATAAATGTCCTCTTAACTAATTTCTGTTAAGTGCTCTGTGTGTGCTATACAGTGCAGAACATTCCAGATTAAGAGGTGTGGCTTCAAAAGGCACATCACGGAGCCATGGGTGCAAAGGGTCACTGTTTGGTGAAGGACAAAATCCTCCAATAGAAGTCTACATTGTCCCTGGACATCACAAGCCGTGGCAAACTATGTGTCAGTCTGTGCTTGCCTTGGTCACCTTTTCCATGGTCAACTAGTATCCGGGTCACCATGGAGCCATAATGGCGCACAATAAACCCATACACCCCCAATTTTAAGATGATGGTGATCTGTTTCCCTCGAGTTTTTTGGTCACCCAAGGATGAGGTCACCAAGGGGCCATCATGTCATACTGTACCATACCGCCATACACCCCCCAGTTTCTAGATGATGATTATGTGTTCCCCTGCCAGCTGGGATGGAGTCCCCATGAAACCATCATGACATACAGTACCCTTATACAACCCCAGTTTCCAGGTGATGGTGATCTGTTCCCTTCCATAACTTGGTCACCCAGGATGAGGTCACCAAGGGGCCATCATGTCATACGGTACCATACCACCATGCAACCCCCCAATTTCTAGGTAATGATGATGTGTTCCCCTGCCACCCAGGATGGGGTCACCATGAAACCATCATGACATACAGTATCCCTATGCAACCCCAGATTCCAGGTGATGGTGATCAGTTTCCTTTGATTTTTCTGGTCACCCAGGATGAGGTCTCCAAGGGGCCATCATGTCATACTGTACCATACTGCCATACACCCCCAATTTCTATGAGATGATGTTTTTCCCGCCACGTGGGATGGGGTCACCATGGAACCATTAGGACATATTATACCCCCATAGAACCCCAATTTCCAGGTGATGGTAAGCTGTTCCCCTCCATCCCTTGGTCACAACAAGGATGGGGTCATAAAAGGAGCCGTCATAATGTACCATACCGCCATACACCCCCAATTTCTATGTGATGATGTGTTCCCCTGCCACCCGGGATGGGGTCACAATGGAAGCATCGGGACCTATAAAACCCCGACACAACCCCAGTTTTCAGGTGATGGTAAGCTGTTCCCCTCCATATTTGAGCCCCCTAGACAAAACGAGCACCTAACCCTTGCAGTGCGGGGTGGGGAAACTCCACTGCAAGGGTAATTTTTTTCTTTGCTCGCAGTTCAATTATTGTTTTCGAATGTAGTGATGAAAAAAATCAAGCGCAGGATGGATTTTTTTTCTCAATTAATGAAATTCTAACAGTGAATGTGGTTTTCATTTGGCAAACTCCATTCATTTCCAAAACCGAAGGATACAATCAAATTAAATTTTGAACAAAATACGTCAAGTCTCTGATGGCATTACTGAATGTTCTGATGAGACATTTCATATTAAGGTTCCTACAAAAGTCTACCAGTGTATGGCCAGCTTATCACTTTTAGTATGAAATAGAACCCATTCATGGATATCTGTACATCAGACCAAAAAGAGGGACCACAGAGGAGGAAAGAGGGACAGGTGGAATTGGTTCCACATGAAGGACAGTTGGGTGGTATGCCATAGAGCCGTTCCTGAATCCAAGGTGATGACGATGTGCTTCAATGGAACGCTCCTGCAAGAGAACACATATTGCAGTTACTCCGATAAGGAGCAGAAGGATCATATGATGTGTTCACATTGCAGAGCCTGGGGGAGTAAAGAGAACCTGTACTGTGTGCAGGAAAAGCAGCGTGTGTTGTACTGACAGTCACTCGCACACTCGCCCCCCTCCCTTAGCACACTGGTCACATGACCCAGGAGGAGGGGCAGGGCTGTGTATATAGGATGGAAGGGCGGACACTGTACAATGTTCCTTAGGAAGCTTCTAACACGGCTGGGAGTCACGACAAGACTGGCAGATAACACAACTATGAGTTCCGGTGAGTGCAACATGTAAGAGGCCAGGGTGGGGATGTAATGGGGGGGGCAGAAGAATGAATATTAGCTCCAGTGAGTGCAACGTGTAGGTGGCCAGGGTGGGATATCTAATGGGGGCCTTTAGAATGAATATGAGCTCCAGTGAGTGCAACATGTAGGTGGCCAGGGTGGGATATATAATGGCGGGCAGTAGAATGAATATGAGCTCCCGTGAGTGCAACATGTAGATGGCCAGGGCGGGATATATAATGGCGGGCAGTAGAATGAATATGAGCTCCCGTGAGTGCAACATGTAGATGGCCAGGGCGGGATATATAATGGCGGGCAGTAGAATGAATATGAGCTCCCGTGAGTGCAACATGTAGATGGCCAGGGCGGGATATATAATGGCGGGCAGTAGAATGAATATGAGCTCCCGTGAGTGCAACATGTAGATGGCCAGGGCGGGATATATAATGGCGGGCAGTAGAATGAATATGAGCTCCCGTGAGTGCAACATGTAGATGGCCAGGGCGGGATATATAATGGCGGGCAGTAGAATGAATATGAGCTCCCGTGAGTGCAACATGTAGATGGCCAGGGCGGGATATATAATGGCGGGCAGTAGAATGAATATGAGCTCCCGTGAGTGCAACATGTAGATGGCCAGGGCGGGATATATAATGGCGGGCAGTAGAATGAATATGAGCTCCCGTGAGTGCAACATGTAGATGGCCAGGGCGGGATATATAATGGCGGGCAGTAGAATGAATATGAGCTCCCGTGAGTGCAACATGTAGATGGCCAGGGCGGGATATATAATGGCGGGCAGTAGAATGAATATGAGCTCCCGTGAGTGCAACATGTAGATGGCCAGGGCGGGATATATAATGGCGGGCAGTAGAATGAATATGAGCTCCCGTGAGTGCAACATGTAGATGGCCAGGGCGGGATATATAATGGCGGGCAGTAGAATGAATATGAGCTCCCGTGAGTGCAACATGTAGATGGCCAGGGCGGGATATATAATGGCGGGCAGTAGAATGAATATGAGCTCCCGTGAGTGCAACATGTAGATGGCCAGGGCGGGATATATAATGGCGGGCAGTAGAATGAATATGAGCTCCCGTGAGTGCAACATGTAGATGGCCAGGGCGGGATATATAATGGCGGGCAGTAGAATGAATATGAGCTCCCGTGAGTGCAACATGTAGATGGCCAGGGCGGGATATATAATGGCGGGCAGTAGAATGAATATGAGCTCCCGTGAGTGCAACATGTAGATGGCCAGGGCGGGATATATAATGGCGGGCAGTAGAATGAATATGAGCTCCCGTGAGTGCAACATGTAGGTGGCCAGGGTGGGATATATAATGGGGGGGGGTGTAATGGGGGGGGCAGAAGAATGAATATGAGCTCCGGTGAGTGCAACGTATGTAGGTGGCCGGGATGTGGTCTAATGGGAGGTATAAATATGCGGGTCCCTGAACCCATAACAACTGCTTTTTCTCCATATCCATATTTTTCTCCATATCGTATACTGGCACCCAATTACGGGAGTTCTCACTAAGCATCCAATGATGCCCCAACTGACCACCAATTTCTGAACTTATCATTACATAACTAACCTTGGAGGAGAAGAGCTCAAACATTGGCAGATATTTTCCAGCATGCTGGCCAACCTTGCATGCACTGCTGGTCCTTCTGTATTACTCTAAGTTCCCTGCAGGGGGCATGTGAGTATTCAGTAGCCTCCGGTGGAGGATATCGAGGGGCCTACAGAGGATGGTATCCAGGGCCCCACATAGGACAGTATCCAGGTGGCGAAAGAAGTTGGTATCCAGGGCCCCACGGAGGACAGTATTTAGGGGGCCCGTACAGGACGTTATTCAGAGACCCACAGAGGAGCATATCCATGGCCCCACAGAGGATGATATCCAGGGGCACATACAAGAAAACCATATATTCCCAGTTTTAACAACTTTTCCCCTTCCAAATGCAGCAGAGATCATACATTCCTATCACAGATCTCCCGCGTGCGGGTAAATTATTTCAACCAATACTAAAGCACAAATCTGTGCCGAGAAGACATTTGGCAGCACATATGTATGTGTTTCCATGTGTGTATGTACATGTATGTATTTCACGTGAGTATGTACATGTATGTATTTCACGTGTGTATGTACATGTATGTATTTCACGTGTGTATGTACATGTATGTAAGTGCTCCCTACTTTCCCCATAGAACTATATGTCTTCTTGTATATGGGGCGTCAGATCGCTCTGTTCGATCCAGTAACTATGGCGCTCGGCTTTCCTGCACATTCACGTTTTTGCTGCAACTTCTCATAGTCGGGATATCAACCAATCAGAGTCCTTATAGCACAACCAAAATTCTAATTGTCCATACCAGCAAGCCCCGCCCCCTGAAGTTCCCTGGGAGGACTGTTGTGTCTTGAGGGTGCTCATTAATGACAGTCAGTGTGATTCAGCACATTCCTGAGTCCCCTATAGACCAGCTAGTGTAACCCGGCTGAATGCCGGCTGTGAGATCCAATGTCGGAGAAGCGAGTTGTTATCACAGATATCCTTTCAATGGCCAATAGTTACCCAAATTTCTTTGCACCTTTGTTGTAAGAACCCCAAATCCACAATCTCAGAAAAGTAGATTATTACATGCAATCAATAAAACAAGGATTGTACATAGAACAATATCAGACCTCTGAAAAGTACAAGCATGCATATGTACTCAGTACTTGGTTTGGGCCCCTTTTGCAGCAATTACTGCAATTACTTTTGCACAATATTCTAATTATTCGAGTTTCACCTGTAGTACTTCTATGCACTGCCCACCTAGGGGGTATTCAATATAAACATTGAGAAATGGCTTCTGTGCACAAGGCTAGGGCCCTCCTTACCATCTTGTCTTGATTTGTATTGTGATTGTAATGTCTTCCCTATATTGTACAGCGCTGCGCAAACTGTTGGTGCCATATAAATCCTGTATAATAATAATGATAATGTCCTGTATTACTAGTGACTGCTTGCGTGGTTGTAAACTCTCTGGTAATCTGTATGAAATTGCATTGTGAGGCTGCTGAATACAAGCAGATTAGTTTCCGCATCTACAAACTCTTGTATCTGCCGCACAAGGATCTGTGTGTACCGTTGTCTAAGGCCCCATTCACACCTGACCGTTTTGTAGCGCGTCCTACGCTCGATGAACGCTCTACAAAACGGTCAAAAAAATAAATAGCATTGTAGTCAATGGTATCGTTCCCACCTGTCCATATTTCCGCCCGTCCCGAACGCACTACAAAACGGCCCACGCATGAAAAGGTCCCGGAGCGTTTTTTGCTGCGTATTGGTCCGTTTTGTAGGGCGTTTTCCATTTGTATACTGCCAAGTAGCCTTTGGAATCGCGCGACAGCCGGGCGACTTTTTTACCGCGAATCGTGGTAAAAAAACCGCGTGACGGTCGCGCGGCAGACGCGCATATTACAATACGCATAGGTGTGAATGGGGCCTTACAGATGAATCAGCTGACATACTGCAGGTGATGGCAAAGCAAATTTCAGCTCATTCCTGATAGGGCAGATCAAATTCGCTCAGCGGGTGGCACTGGCGGCCGGCTCCCCGAAGGATCAAGGCAGAAAATTGTCAGCAAAACAGCACCTGTGTCCAATCAGATACTGGCACTGTTCAGGTATTTTGACAGCTGGCCGGTCCAACTGTCAACTTCAATAGCCGCGGCAGGTTGCTGTCTCCATCCACGCTGTTTATTGTGAATGGAGGTATCTGCCCACAAGGATTTGCTTGTGTATGGCTGACAAACTGCAGGTGGGGGCAAGCATCCCATAGGGCTAGTTCACACCAGCCACAGTGCGATTCCGGTCCGATTCTGGCCGGAGAGCACTGGATCGCATTGCAGCCGGCTCACTTTGTTGTGGGGCGGCAGCATTTTTTCTGACCGCACCGCAGGCATTGATGTGCCATGCGTTCCTGTGCGGCCGGAGGGCGTGGCAACGGTGCCATTGAGTTTAATGCACCGCCATGCCCTCCGGCCGCACGGGAACGCATGGCACATCAATGCTTGCGGTCCGGTCAGAAAAAATGCTGCCGCCCCACAACAAAGTGAGCCGGCCGCAATGCGATCCAGTGCGTTCTAGCCGGAATCGGGCCGGAAAGCACTGTGGCTGGTGTGAACTAGCCCTTAAGCTGGGTATACTGGCAGAAAATTTCCTCTGATTGTTGATGAACCAGACAAAATGTAGCGGGTGGCCCTGACGGCTGGCTCCCGCCCCACATCCTTTCAAAATGAAATGCTACAGGCCAAAAATTGTCAGCTGACAACACCTACATCCATTCAGATGCAAGCTCTGGTCAAACATTTTGACAGTCAGCAGGACTGACTGTCAAAATACAATAGCCGCCAGTCCATGCTGCTTACCGTGGGCATGGATGGAGGAATCTGTTAGATTTTTTTTCGAGCTGAATGAAAAAAAAACTAAGTGTATACCCACGTGTCTGTCGTACGTATGTGGGCAGTGGGAAAAGTGATAACGCAAGGATTCTAGCTCACAGGATAGCTGGAGGAATCACAGAAGCGAGTGGGATTCACTTGGCTGCTCTGCAGCCCTTAGAGTTCACCAGATCGTATGCAAGATTTCTATCTGCCTTTGTGTGTCCAGCCAACTAGACTTGGGTGAGTCTCCCTCTAGTGGCCGTCAGCAGCATTGCAGGGTGTGATCATTGTTTCCCAGCACGGTTTTATTCTCCCAAGGCCCTCGCCCTAGTTACTGAGAAGCTATGGGTGTGATTTCTTGACATCTACGTGCAGTAGTAAGATTTTCATGCGTGGGTGTTGTTTACAGTTGTTACCTGTGTCCAGATTGGGGAACTTGGGGTTCTCGTGTCAATTTTCCAGTTGCTGGTCGATTTCCGAGGACCTACAAGGAACGATGAACAATCGTTTATCACCAATTGTTTATTGATCAGTTCTCCAACACACACACATTTGTTTCAGTCATAAGACGAGATCAACCTCGATTAGGAGCACTCTAAGGTCCCACACGTTACTTTTATTGTGAATGGCGCCCAAACGCACATGTGCTGCAAAGTGTGGTGTCCTGTGCGTTGCGCTCTGTAATATTGCAGACAGGACCGATTTTTCACGGCGATGCACAAAAACCCATGTGCGGCAGAAGACTGCTTTGTACTGTGAAGGGACTCAATCCAAAAACAAAGGGCCTCCAATTTTCATTTAATAGAATGATCCTATCGATAAGTGTGACCAACTTTACACGTGGAAGAAATGGTCATAGAGCGCCATACATTAAGGGGTATGGTGTAGATCTGCCTGGGACGGTGGCTGCACGGGTGCTCGGGGATCTCTGACAGATAATGACCCCCTTTCCTCCCCATTCACAGGCGGTGTGATCTCATATGATGAGCTGAAGAAGCTGCTCAGTTCCGGATCCATCCACCTATTTGATGTCCGAAATCCCGAGGAGTTGAAGAGTGGAAAAATCCCAAACGCCATCAATATGCCAGGTAACATCATGTCTGCCATGGTGTCTGGGAATGTATGGTCAGGTAACATCATGTCTGCCATGGTGCCTGTGGAATGTATGGTCAGGAGACATCATGTCTGCCATGGTGTCTGTGGAATGTATGGTCAGGTGACATCATATCCGCCATGTTGTTTGTGGGATGTATGGTCAGGTAACATCATGTCCACCTTGGTGTCTGTGGAATGTATGGTCAGGAGACATCATGTCTGCCATGTTGTTTGTGGGATGTAGGGACAGGTGACGTCATGTCCACCATGTTGTCTGTGGGACGTATGTCCAGGTGATGTTATGTTCACCATATTGAATGTGGGATGTATGGTCAGGAGACACCATGTTGTCCGTGGGAAGTATGGTCTGTTGATGTCATGTTGTCTGTGAGATATATGGTCAGGAGATGTCATGTCTGCCATGTTGACTGTGGGATTTAGGTTAAGGTGACATCATGTCTGCCAGGTTGAGTGTGGGATATACGGTCCGGTGAGGCCATGTTGTCTCCTGAATGTATAGTCAGGTGACATCATGGCCGCCATGTTGTCTGTGGCATGTAGGGTCAGGTGATGTCATACCTGTTGTTCTGGCTGTGGAATCGAGGGTCAGGTGATGTCACGTCTGCCATGTTGGCTGTGGGATGTACAGCCAGGTAACATCATGTCTGTCATGTTGTCTGTGGGATGTATGGACAGGCGTCGTCATGTTGTCTGTGGTATATAAGGCCAGGTAATGTCATGTCTGTCATGTTGTCTGTGGGATGTATGGACAGGCGTCGTCATGTTGTCTGTGGTATATAAGGCCAGGTAATGTCATGTCTGTCATGTTGTCTGTGGGATGTATGGACAGACGTCGTCATGTTGTCTGTGGTATATAAGGCCAGGTAATGTCATGTTTGCCGTGTTGACTGGGATGTAGATTCAGGTGACATGTCCATGTTGAGTGTGGTATATACGGTCAGGTGAGGCCATCTTGTCTGTTGGATGTACAGTCAGGTGATGTCATGTCCTCCATGTTGTCTGTGGGATATAGGGTCCGGTTACGTCATATCTGCTGTGTTGACTGGGATGTAAGGTCAGGTGATGTTATATCTGCTGTGTTGACTGTGGGATGTAGGGTAAGGTGAGGTCATACCTGTTGTGCTTGCTGTGGGATCTAGGTTCAGGTGATGTCACGTCTGCCATGTTGGCTGTGGGATGTACAGCTAGGTAACATCATGTCCGTCATGTTGTCTGTGGGATCTAGGGTCAGGTGATGTCACGTCTGCCATGTTGGCTGTGGGATGTACAGCTAGGTAACATCATGTCCGTCATGTTGTCTGTGGGATCTAGGGTCAGGTGATGTCACGTCTGCCATGTTGGCTGTGGGATGCACAGCTAGGTAACATCATGTCCGTCATGTTGTCTGTGGGATGTAGGGTCAGGTGATGTCACGTCTGCCATGTTGGCTGTGGGATGCACAGCTAGGTAACATCATGTCCGTCATGTTGTCTGTGGGATGTAGGGTCAGGTGATGTCACGTCTGCCATGTTGGCTGTGGGATGTACAGCTAGGTAACATCATGTCCATCATGTTGTCTGTGGGATGTAGGGTCAGGTGACGTCATGTCCACCATGTTGAGTATGGGATGTACAGACAAGTGACGCCATGTTGTCTGTGGGATGTACTCTCAGGTGAGGGCATACATGTGTCACGGTTTTGGTGTCTTTCAGTGGCGGAAGTAGAAGGAGCTCTGCAGATGGACGCAGACGCATTTAAAAAGAAATATAATGTAGAGAAACCAAAAGTGGACGATGGCAACCTGATATTCCACTGCCATCTGGGCAGGAGAGGACAGCGAGCCGCCGACATCGCCGTTGGCCTGGGATACAAAAAGTGCGTATGTCATATAGTGTGTACAATGTGCGTATTGTCCCTACACGTATGTTATAATGTGAGTGAGCACAACAAACAGAGTGCACATCGTCTCCACTGCCTACACATATGTTTTACTGACTGCATACACTGCATTAGTGGTTATAAAACATATAAGCTTTTTTTTTTTTTTTTTTCTAACTCCAATTAATTGTATGTTACCAAATCACATGACCTCAAATTCCATTAAAAATACCTGTAAAAAAGTGACCAAACTTATTTATATTAAACAAACTTCAATGAACTCACATTAGTCTGAATTTAATTTCCACTCTTCAGCCTCAGTCCTAGCCCCTCATAGTCATACGACCATTGGATAGGCCTCCATCCTAGCCCCACATAGTCAGGTGATCTCCTGATGGCCTCAGTCCTAGCCCCTCATAGTCACACGCCCATTGGAAAGGCCTCAGTCCTAGTCCCACATAGTCAGGTGATCTCCTGACGGCCTCAGTCTAAGCCCCTCAGAGTCACACGACTATCGGAAAGGCCTCCATCCTAGCCCCACAAAGATGATCTCCTGACGGCCTCAGTCCTAGCCCCTCATAGTCACACGACCATCACAAAGGCCTCCATCCTAGCCACACATAGTCAGGTGATCTCGCATAGTCACATCGTCACCTAACAGCCTTAGTCCAAGCCCCACACAGTTATATCATCTCCAGTTGGCCTCAGTCTTAGCCCCAGTCACAACATTTCCTGATGGCCTCAGTTCTAACCCCAACATGTGACTAGGTGTGTTGGGCACCAGGGCTCTACTCTAGGGATGAACCGAAATTTCGGCCGCCGAAACATATCGGCCGAAAATGGCACTTATGGCAAAATGCGCTGCTCTGTGTCCCAACGGGGAGGAGAGAAACTGTCACAGGAGGCTGAGGGGTGCGGGAGGAGAGCGATGTGAGCGGCCGGCGTCTCTCCTCCCAAACCGCTCAGCCTCCTGTGACAGATTAGGAGAGTGTTGGTGTGGGGCGGAGACAGCTTGCATTGCTGTCACAGGAGGAGAGCTCAGCCTCCTGTGACAGCACGGGAGAGCGGTGGTGTGGGCGGAGACAGCTGTCAGAGGAGGCCAGGCCGGCGGTGCAGGGGAGGAGTCAGCTGTCAGAAGAGATTGAGCTCTCCTCCACGCACCGTTTACTCAGCCTCCTGTGACAGCTGATCCAGGATGGAGAGCAGATACAAACACTTAGTGATCGCTGAGTGTTTGTAAATAATTGATGACAGTATGTTTACTGTGTCCCCAATTATGAATGAATAGGAAGTGATCTACATCACCTCCTGTTCTTTCATGATTGTGGACATGGTAAACATACTATCTCCACAAGGTATGAATGAACAGGAACACTCAGTATAGAGGATTCCTGTTCATTGATAACAGAGGCTACAGAAAAAGAGATTGAGGACTCTGTGTACTCAATCTCTTTTTCTATTTTAAGAGGGACCCCTAATATTTCCCCGGAGCCCCCAACAGTTTAGTTAAAAAATAAAAATATTTAAAAGAATTTGAAAAGGTAAAAAAAAAAGGTTTCCGTTTCGGCCTGACATTTTTTTTTTCCATTTTCGGTTCTGAAAATGTCATTTCGGTGCACCTCTACTCTACTCCTTTAGCAAATCAAGGTCAATGTGTGTGGTGTGATACAATGTCCCCTCACTGCTGTCTGTCCTTCCTACAGAGCCCGGAACTACCTCGGAGCCTACAAAGAATGGGCAGAGAAGGAGGGAAAGTGATCCCCTCTCATCCACCACTATCTACCTCACGAGATGAATGAGAAGAAAATTAGCTATATAATAAATTATACTTTAGATACAATGCGGTCTCTGACTCATCCTTCACCCTCTGACTGCACACAGGCAGATCTTCCATAAACAATCAATCTGTAGATCTGGAACCTTTTTGTATCTTGCTGGCAGTACAGTGTTGTACTATGCTACTCAAAGATGGTAGAAAAGTGAGAATACAACGGATCACTTGATTTATCTCACTGAATATTTTATAGCGCAATCCTTCAAGAAGATTGATCAAAGCAGTGGAAGATGCAGCTCAACGTTTCTAAATGCAACACAATGCACTAAGGGAAATATAAGCCTCTGAGGAGGTCCCGATTTCCATACATAGATCCTTAGGTATCACTAGAGGGATCCCCAGCAGGAGGAAGGATGTCCAGATTCCTCTCTTTAGACCTTTAGTTATCATTCGAGAAATCCCAGGCAGGAGGAAGGAAGTCCCAGTTTCCCTCTATAGATCTTTATTTACCACTAGAGGGATCCCCAGGAGGTAAGGAAGGTTCAGATTCCCCTATAAAGATCTTTATTTATCACTAGGGGGATCATCAGCAGGAGGTCCTAGTTTGTCTATATAGATCTCTACTTATTGCTAGAGAGATCACTGGCAAAAAAGGAGGTCCTTATACCCCTATATAGTTCTTTAGTTATCACTAGAGGGATCCCTGGCAGGAGGAAGTATGTCATAATTCCCCTCTATAGATCATTAGTTACCACTAGGGGGATCCCTGGCAGGATGAAGGAGGTACCGATTCCCCTCTACAGGTCTAGGAGATGCCAATTCCTCTATATAGATCTTTATTATCACTAGAGGCAGGGCCGGACTGGGACTAAAAATAGGCCCGGGCATTTTAGACTGAGCAGCCCAATCACGTGACCACCAACAGGCCCCACCCCTCACAACAGGGGGCGGAGCCAAACACAGAAGCGCAATCGAGGTGCAGGGCCGGCCACTAGTAAGTACCGGAGGGCTACAGCTGACACACAAGCCTTGCTACAATATAGGAAGCTTGCTATAGAGAATATCTGTAAAAAATAAGTCAAGGCAACTGGACTTGCTGTATTTTTCTTGAAGACGTTTCACTGGTCATCCGACCAGCTTTCTCAATTCAGAAATTTCTGAATTGAGAAAGCTGGTTGGATGGCCAGTGAAACCTCTTCAAGAAAAATACAGAAAGTCCAGTTGCCTTGACTTATTTTTTACAGATATACCATGTGACCTGGATGAATGAACCTTCACAGACATATTACTATAGAGAATCGGATCTCACTGGCCCCCCAACCCCCCTGGCATTCTCTGCACTAAAGTGGCTTACACTCTAATGTCCCCCGCACAGTCACACACTATTATTATACATTTATAAAGCTCTGACATATACCGCAGTGCTGTACAGAGAAAACTGAGCCAATCACATCAGAGTGTAAGCTCCTCAGTGTACAGAGGAGCTTACACTCTAATGCAGAATACCATCAGCTATAGAGGACTAAAAATCCCTGCAAAACATTATCTCGGGCGCCCCCCCACACACTAAATTTACCCCACTCGGCTGTGGTCTCAGGTGGGCTTTGCAAGGTCTGTGGTGGGCTCTGCGGGGTCTCAGGCTGCTAAGCCCACCTGAGACCCTGCAGAGCCCACCATAGACCCCGACACAGATCCTGCAAATCCCCCCTGAGACCCGGTTGATGATTTTTACAGATCCTGCACAGCCAATATAGTGAAGTCAAAGCGCTGTGCACGCATCCTGATGATTAAGTATTTATAAAACAACTAGGGGTGCTGCCCCACTTCAGCCGGGAGAAACTGTAAAACTGGAATACAATAAAGGACAGAAGGGCGCCCAACCTAGTGCAGATTATTTTTTATTTTAAAAGACACAAAAGATAAAATTGCAATGGTACTCACAATGAAGGGTCATAAAACAGCTTGTGTGGATGTTTTGGAAGAAACAGCAGTTAAGACTGCAATCTGCCTGTGTGTCTGCAGTCTCAGGGGGCTGTGCAGGATCTGTGGTGGGCTCTGCCCACCATAGACCTCGCAGAGCCCACCACAGATCCAGCAAAGCCCCTTTGAGACGCAGGAAAGCCCCCCACAGATCCTGCAGAGCCCCCTCAGATCCTGCAGAGCCCCCTCAGATCCTGCAAAGCTCACCAAAGGGTATTGTATTGATTCCTAGCGGAATGTAAACATATCACATATCATTACATGCGGAGTGTAGTTGTTTACATGCAACTTTTGTCACCTGATCGTTAACTTAGGTGACAGCTGCCATTTGTAAATGCCAAATTATGGATTTCTGTTGCAGGAAAACGCAAGTTCCTGAAGCAGAAATCCCTAATTGCACCCAAAATAAAGGTGTGAATGCAGCCTAATACACTTCTACTCCCCAAACTCCCTCCCCCCAGTAAAAAAATACAACCCCTGTACATATATATATATATACATACACACACACAACCCCAGTCCGTGCCGTCCCCCCTCTCCCCCAGACCTTACCAATCATTTCTTCACAATGCTTTCGGCCAGTGTTCACTGAAAGAGCGCTGGCCGAAAGGATCCGAGTGCCGGCGCAGATTCAGGTACACGGTCTGCATCCGACAGAGATGAAGACCATGTACGCAGTTGCGATCGTTCTGTAGCTGCAGCGGCCTGGAGGAGAGAGCGAGCTGACAGGACGGGTCGCAGCAGTGGGGACCTCAGCACTGCCTGCCACGATCCTCCAGCGCCCTCTAGTGTCTACTGTGTGGTAGTGCCGGCTCTGCTCGCTAACACACAGTAGACACTGCTCTGCACAGAGCCAGCCATCGGGCATAGCGGACCGGCCCGAACACAATCAGGTTGATTGTGTCCGGCCCGGCCCACCGGGCAAGTCCCCGGTTTGCCCTATGGCCAGTCCGGCCCTGACTAGAGGCATCATCAGCAGAAGGTCCCAGTTCTCCTATATAGATTTGTATTCATCACTAGATTGATCCCTGGCAAGAGGAAGGAGGCCATGATTCCCCTACATAGATCTTTAGTTATCATTTGAGGGATCATCAGCAGGAGGTCCAAGTTCACTTTTATAGATCTCTATTTATCTCAACGACAAAAGGAAGGAGGTCCTTATACCCCTTATATAGTTCTTCAGTTATTATTATTATTACATAGTATTTATATAGCGCCAACAGTTTGCACAGCGCTTTACAATATAAGGAAGACATTACAGTTACAATACAATTCAAGACAAGATGGTAAGGAGGGCCCTGCCC